TCACACGTAAAAGGGTAACAGGAGGAAAACAAAATATTAATACACCCAAGGTGCTTCCATACTATAATTTCTGTGCCAAGTATCCATGGTGTCCCTCCTACAGTCACAAATACCTATGTCTCTCCCTCCACCCTGGAAGCCTCTGGATGGTACCTGCATTCTTCATTGTGAATTAGAGGTTATTCTAGATGAATCAATTGATACTAACTCATTGAGCCTGCAGTCAGTGTAATTGCACTTTGGAATCCCTTAGAAAATAATTTTTTGAAGACAGAGTCTCACTATGTAGCCTAGGTCTAATCTCTCCACTCTTGCCATCCTTGCCAATGGCTCCAACATCCACATAGAGAAACCTTGCTCACTGCAGTTTGATAGCTCCAGTATAAACAGTCTTCAATCCATTGTCCCTGGAGGTACCAACACTCAAGTCTAAATATTGTCCTTAGCATACTTACCGTCCCTTTGAAAAATGTGGACCACTGCAGGGTGCCTCCCACACCCAGTCACCTCTGTGGCTTCAGCCCAACAATCCAAGCCTCCATCCTCCCATGGCTGCAGCAGCACGGGGTTTGCAGTGACAGACACTAGGAGAGATGACTAGCAAGTCCCAGATTGTAACCCGTGCTCACTACCTCAAGCCTCTCTTCTCACCCTACACTTGCTAAAGATGAGGAGCAGATGCTTCCTCGAGCTGCCTTGCTAACTCTGCACACCTTTCCAGAGACCCCCGTTCTCTTTCTGAACCAAGAGTTGTTTCTCAGTAATCCAACCCCACCCCTTCCCTGCAGCAGTAAGAACAAGGGCGATATTGCCTTCTCTGGGCCAGTCTCAGATCATTCGCAAAGTCCCTTGAGTGGCTTCTTCTCCAGGCTCACCACACCCATCCTGACTCCTCCTGCCCCTCATACATATGATGTAGTGACCTTGTGAGTCTCTGTCCAGCTGACTCTTCAGGCACCTACACAGTAGCAGTAACTTCTGCCAAAATTCAAGTCCCACGCAAAACTTCTAGAATGAAAACACGAACAGTTTTCTCTGCTCCAACAGAACTGAAAACTAAGCATCCCCCTCCCCCGTAGCCCCTGCTTCACTCACAAATCAAAGGAAGAAAAGAAGGAAAGAAAAAAAATCTCAGGACAAGAAATGGTAATTCCAAGTGATTGGGGAATTTTTTTAAGAGTCTTGATTCCTAAGGGCTTGTCTTGTCCTTTTAACTAGAAAGTTTGAGTCTTGATCCATTAATCCAAAGCTAATAAACACCAGGTGGCAATTTGCCAGTTTGAACTCAGGAGTGGAAGCTTATTCATTATTAGGAAGTAGTGATCTCTGTGGGGAGAGGCTTGCAAACAGGATTAGCAGAGCAAGGGAGGGCAGAGCCTTTGGTGAAAAATGTGCCCATTGCTAATCAATGGGCAGCAGCAATCACAAGGAGCAAGCACAGATGCACGATCGTTGCATTCATCGTTTTCAGGAGCAAGGGGTGGACTTTGGGCACTGGCTGAATCAGGATTTCCGAAACTTTTCCTGTAAGTATTTTGGGCAACAGTGGCTGTTAAGCTTTTGAGCTCCCTGAGGGCATTGAAACAGAATCAGAAAGTCCAAATTGTCAAAAGTACTAAGAGAGGACATACTTGTTAGGAGTGTAGTTCAGAGGGTAGGATGTGTGCCTAGTAAGCACAAAGCCATCTCAGAAACCCAACACCATAAGAACTGGGCAAGGTGGCACACACCGTACGTAACCCCCACACTCAGGACATGGAGGCAGGGTGATCAGGAATTCAAAGTGATCCTCAGCTTCATAGCAAATCTGAAGTCAGCCGAGGATACATGAGGCCATGGCTCAATAAATTAATTAAATAAATAAGTAAATAAAGTCCAAAATATTGCTGAAGCCTCCTACTTATTCTTTTGTTTTGGGGGAGTGTCATTTTGTTTTGTTTTTCCTCATACTTACTCTGAAGGCCTCTTGCAACTTGCATGTTATGCCAAGACATGGCTGTTTAATTCATATGGAGAATTTAAGAATGAGTTCCTCCAGGCTATATTCTCTTGGCCTAAAGGCAACTCCATTCTTGCTTCACATCTTCAAGTTGGAGGAAACGCAGCCCTATCAGCCTCAGCGAACTATCTTGGAAACCTTGATAGTCAAGGCCATGGTCCTTCCTCATCCAATAGATTGTTAGATGCCAAGGGGAGTTATGCTAGGCATAGCACTGCAGGATAACAGTATGGAGTTTAGATATTGCTTTCACATTCATAATATGAAAACTTATCCTACTTAACTCCTCCAAGCCTTAGTTTTCTCATCTGTATAAAGGTATCAACTCTAGATTATTCTAGAGAGGGAGTAAGTCAATGTATGAAGCACTCAGCCCCAAAAGTATAATATAACTGCTTGTTATCATGATGTTGGTAATGAGTCCTAACACTTGGAGGGCTACAAAGAACCATATTCTGTTAATTAACTGGAATTTGAGAGTGGAATCTGAAGTCCTGGGCTTCTTTATTTGTTCTGCTCTTGGTTGACATTGTTGTTACAGATAAATGATTGATGTCCCAGTACCCTAATCTGTGTAGGGGGAACATGATCACTGCTCCATACTTCCCAACACCTCTGTGAAGATGGCATGGAATGGCTGTGCACAACACATTGAGGGTATTTGATAATTATGTCATGCAAATAAAAGATAAAATCTATTTTCCTATTTTTCAAAGGAATACAAATTTCCAGATGAAATATTGAAAGTGTTTTGGCACATAGAAGAATTAAGGAAACAATATGATAAAGCAAAAGAGACAAACTCTGCCAGTTGTGAGCCTTCCATCCCTCTAGAGAATTATATTGCTAATGATGACCAATAACAAATGTGACACTGAGAACAGAAGAAGACATAGTAAATAAATGCTTTATCTGTGTCCACTTGTCTAATTTTCACAAGATAGATAGACAGATGGACAGATGACATACAGACAGATCGATTCCACTTGTAACCTGAAAACTTAAATTCAGAACTTCTGTGAATATTGTCCATATTTATAAAAGTAGATCTGAAGGAAGTCCAGTTTGCTCCCCAAACTTGAACTCCAAACCATTATGTTCTGCCATGCAGTCATCAAGTAGAGCTTTGAAGAGCTCTCTATGGCAGTTCCTGGATGTACTTCACTAAGCACAAGCTCATAGTGTGACTTCAGAGTCAGTAGTTCATGATGTCAGAGGAAAGATTAGTCAAGTCTAATGTCCAACCAAGACCCTCAGAAGGCTGAGACAGGAACATTCTAATTTCAAACCCTGTCTGTTGTTACAGAGTGACTTTGAGAACAGGCTTGACAACTAATCAAGATCCTGCATCAAATAAAAGGTATGAGACAGACAGTCTAGAGCTTTATCTCAGTGTTAAGAGTGTTACTGTAGAATAGATGAGACTCTAGGTTCAGAAAGGAGAGAGAGAGAGAGAGAGAGAGAGAGAGAGAGAGAGAGAGAGAGAGAGAGAGAGAGAGAGAGAGAGAGAGAGAGAGAGAGAATGTTCCAGGCCTTTTTCCTCCTTGTAAGCTCTGGGATCAGAGTTATGTTGAGTAGGACTTAAAATCTCAGCTCAACTGAAAAGCAACTAGGTGATATTCAGCAAACTATTTAACATCTGTGAGAGAACAAATAAAGTTTTATCTTAAGTACAAGGAATATTTCAATCTCTACTTTGCAGCGATCACCAGGAAGGAGGAGGAGGGAACTGGTGATTTTAACCATCATTCATTATCATTTTAATAGTAAGATAAAATTCTTTCCATCTAAGGATGCTGTATTATCTTTCTAATGAAAAAGATGCTCTAAAAGTGGTTAAATTCTAATATGGAGCAGGAGTGAATTTTTCAGAGCAACATCCCAGGAACATTAAGATGATTCCTGAATAATTTTCAAGCCTATTTGTTTCTGCATACCCAATTACCCTGAGACCAAATGAAAACTCATTGGGCCACAAGCAAAGCACAGGTTCCCACAATCCGTCAGGTAAAATTTCACATGTTGCAAGCATCAAGGCTTAAGAGGAATGTGTTTCAAAACTGTTGGTTTGTCTGTGTCGGCTGAGAGGGATAAAGCAAGGAAAGTCAGCCAAGGAAAATCAAGCAGAGAGTCAACCTCTGGGTCTTGAACTAATAAAGTAAAGAAAATTTCCCACAAGGAAGCTGCACCTACAAAAGTTCATTGCTTTAGTGGAACTATTATTATAGTGGGAGGTTGAAATGTCCAAAGGCCCAACTCTGTGTGTGGCCTATTATACTTAACTTTAGCTTCAACCTAACACAATACTAGGGTTACTTTGGAAGAGAGAATCTCAGCTGAAGAATTGCCCAGATCAGATTGGCCTGTAACCTCATCTGTGAGTCATTTTCTTGATATCCACTTCTGGCTTCTATTTTCACTAGACATGCACGCATGGTGCACATACATATATGCATGAAAAATGCTCAAACACATAAAAATAAATAAATAAAATTTAAGTGACCGATGATCATAGAATCATCTTGGAACGGAGGAGCCACTTATATACTCAAAAAAGGGACAGCATCACCCATAGCGTCACATGACTCAGATTTATAAAAATGACTCAGATTTATAAATACGAGTCAGATTTACAAATAGAACAGGTGAAAAGCTCTAGGGATGTTACTCATGGGGATTCCTGTTTCAGGTAGGAGAAAGTCACATTGAAGAGAGGAGATGAGAGGGAGCCACTGAAAAACCATGTGACCTTTGAGGGGCAGATGGATGGAATCAATTCCTTAAAGAATTCAAGAGACAAGTCTGCTTCACTTGAATAAAACAAATAACTTTTATTATTTATTTTTAAGTTTAAATTTAGGTTAGAAACAATGTTGCTTCACAAGTCAGTTCCAGGTCCCTCTCCCTTTCCCTCCCCTCCTCCCGTGCCCTCCCCCCAACCCCCCCATTATCCCCTCATTTCCCCAGGGAGGGTGAGGCCCTCAAATAATTTTTAAATATATAATTTGGGTGTAGAATTCAATGAATGGTTTACACTTCCCCAGTCCACCAAATAATCTCTGTCTCGGTGAGCAGGGTAGGGCTACAGGCTGATGACAGCCACTGACAGGACTCCTGCCCTCGCATTTGTACTTCGGGGGGAGAATTGGTTTCAAGCCAAGTTCTGTTTTTCTCTTTGTGTCCTGGTAAGCTTGATCTCTGGAAATAAACTGGGCTGGCTGTCCCTTTGATCCCATTGTGTGATTCTATCTCGTTCATCAAGCTTTGGCACCTGACCTATTACGAGGGTATAGAAAATGGTACAATTTCAGTGTTTTCAAGAGTCAGTTTTCTATTAAAAAGAGAGGATGTATGACAGCCACTTTTAGATCCTCTTGTTATCTGGGTTGCGTTTTCATAAATGTTTTGTGAATGTATACCATTTATTTGCCAAAACTGAAAAAAAAAAACCTAACAAGGGTGACTTTGTATCCCATTGACTCTGGCTCTGAACATCCATAGGATCCACAAAGACTGCAGAAATTGAATCTCATAGGATCACTTGTATCAGAAAATGGCCCAAGCCTGGCTTCTGGGAATGTTCAGAAAGATGGCCGCAGCAGGGAGTGAATGCAATGACTCATTTCCAGCTCTAAGAGATGGCTGCTTCTGTTGCCCATCTGCTGTATGGACAGACTTAGCCATGGCCAGACACCTCTTGGCTCCGTCTTCATTGGGATCCTCTACTGATTCCAGGAAATGGCTTTAACAGGATGAATAAATAATCCATATAGAGGCTGAGGTCCCTGGGATGATTTGGCTATCCCTATTCTTTGACTCTCCCAGAGACGGAGTTCATACCCTAGTCCTGAGCCATTGTGACCATCACCCCTGTCTCACCAGACAACCTCAAGAAACAGCAAACATCAAGAGTGATCTTTTTTAAATAATTACTCTAGTGTGACAAAACCAAACAACAAATGACAAAGCCAAGGTATTTGACAGTCCCTGCTATGATTCAGTTAAAATGCCAGACTTCCCTAACATTTCTGCTATTTCTAATTAGCCAGGATTTAAATAGTATTGATTTTTCTCATTCATGAAAATTCTGGGTGTTTTTCCTGAACGGTGTACATTTCATGTTTTTTGAACTCTTCCTTCTAGATCCTAACCCCAGGGATAGCCCTTGGGAATGACATTACTTGCCTAAACTTGAACAAAGCCTTCGGAGCCCTGTCTACAACTACACGGTTCTCAGAGAACTCACACTTCGACTCATGTTGATAAACAGCATTTGTTTCCACGCCTTGTGTTTCTGGTTGTAAGTCAGTATGTTTTCCCTCCGTTTGCAGAGTGCCCCTTTTTAGCCTCTAGCAATGGGACGACACCATCTGGGATTGCCAAGGAAATTAAATTAAATTAAGTTAAAATTCAATCAACAGAAGATTGTTGCCTCTCTGACTTTCCTAAGGACCGTGAGTGCATCCACATAAAATGCCTCTTTCTTAAGAAAGAAATGGGCCAGCTCTGCACTACAGCAGCAGCCCATGATCTGAGACTCCCCCAGGGTGAAGGGCCAGTAACTCACACCATCTCATCTGGCCTGCAGCAGCTAGGAAAGAAATGGGTTTTTTTCTGTAGTTTGTGTTTGGCTTAGGAAAAGTAATTGTTTCATAAGAAGATATATTTTAATTTATGCAATAAGTAATAAAGGCATTCATAAACATAAAAATATTAGGTTGTTTAGTACCACATACACTATGATAAAATGACTTCTAGATGGATTAAAGTGTTTATTTTACAAATAAGAATAAAGCATAAATGTGGACTCTTTTTAAAAATTGCTTTCAGGAATTTCTAAGCATCAAATAGATAGATAGATAGATAGATAGATAGATAGATAGATAGACAGACAGACATACAGATAGATAAAAATACCAGAGGGCCACTGAAATGGCTCAGATGGTAAGGGCACTTGCCACCAAACCCGACAGCCTGCATTTAATCCCCATGACCCCCAGGTTAAAAGGAGAGAACTGACTCTGACCTCTACTCGACAGCCATGGAACACAGATAGGCACATGCCCATATGCCTGAATGCACACACGCATGCACACACACACACATGCACTCACACACAATAAATATTTAAAAGCACAAAAAAGTATTGATAGAATTGGACATGCTAAATTTGAAAATGAAATACTACCATATGTCATAAACTAAATACAAATTCAAAAGACAAAAGGGAAGAAATGTCATTAACATTCAAGAACATCAACATACCTTAATATACACACATTATACAAACACACACTCGAATATATGCACATTAACATTCATAGCACAACACACACACAAACACAGATTGACAGCACACATGTGCATGCATATAACACATTATATAGTCTTAGAAAAGTAAAACATCTGAAATGTCAGGAGAGAAAACTGGGCTGCTATACTAATTCAGACTTTAAGTTTTTGCTTCTTAATTCACTTTTTCACTCCTTGAAGGAAATTGTAGAAATGTTCTGAAGAATCCATCCTTGTATATAAATTTCTGCTGCATAGCAATTCACATATGCTGTCTCCTTAATAAACCTTTAGACAAAAAAAAGAAAAAAGAAAAGTAAAACATCCTGTTTGTGCTCCAAAGACATTAATAGTAGTAAACAAAGGAATATACATAGCTAAAACTTTCTTCAAATTCACCTTTTAAAAATGTTTGGATAGGCCAGATGTTAGTGGCACATGCCTTTAATTCCAACACTTGGGAGGCAGAGGCAGGTGGATCTCTGTGAGTTCAAGACCAGCCTGGTCTACAGAACAAGTTCCAGGACAGCCTCCAAAACAATACAGAGAAATCCTGTCTCGAAAAACCAAAAAAAAAAAAAAAGAGAGAAAAACAGTTTAGATAATCATCCCCAAAATAATGACAAACCTCCTATGGTAAACTGTCAAAACCGTTACTTTGATTAACAGTGAGTCAAAATCAGAACTGTCCCTACACAAGTTTTTAAAAGAGAGGAGAGGTGGTCTGCAGGTCCCACCCTTGACAGAGAATCATTCTTCCTGTAAAGCATGGATGCTGGTAGGCTTCAAATGCCCCAGTGGATAACCCTACACATATACACATAAAGATAGCACTAACTGGACTTAGTGAGAAGTTGGGAGGAGATGTGGAGGAAGACTGAGGAGTAAGTAAGGAATGGAAGTGAATATAATCATATTTGACTGTACACATGTGTGAAACGTTCAACAAATGGAAAGAGAACACTCATGAAGCAACATACTACAAAATGTATGGAGTCAACATGTTTAGGCATAAAGTCATCATCCAGAAATAACTTCAAGGCTGTGGATAGGCTTGCTGGGTAAAGTGACTGCCCTATAAGCTAAGGGCCTGAGATCAGATTGCCAGGGCTCACATGAAAGCTGGGCATGCAGGCATGTGCCTGTAACACCAACACAGGCTTCAAATTTAGGATTTCATATGTGTGTATGTGTGCGTGCACACGTGTGTGCGTGTGTGTGTGCGCACGTGCGTGCATGCACCTAGAAATTCCTGAGATCAACTCAGGTGCAGAGACAAGTGTATCCTTGTGGGTTCTGGACCATCATCCTAGCTAAAATGAAGAGCTCCACATCCATTGAGAGAATAGGGTAGAAAGTAATGGAAGCCAGCACCCTACACAGATGCACACACCTGTATACACACACACACACACACACACACATGCACGCACGCACACGCACGCACACGCATACACACTATATTAAATACACAAATAAATAAAAAACAAAAAGAAAAAACAGGCAAAGCAACAACCACACAGATGTGGAGTTTTTCTGATGGATGCTTATTGCAGCTTCATACACAACAACAAAAGTTAGACCTAACATTAACCTGGACATGTAAACTATAAACACAAAGTAGAATGCATCCTTTAAGAATATATGAATACATGAGGAGACTATGTGTTGTTTGGTATCATTAAAGACATAAAGATTACACATGCATATGTGTACGGCCGCATTGCCATGTGCTTTATGACTGTTTTGTGTGAATGCTGTGCTAAAGTCTCAAGATTGCATGCTCACTCACACATTCAGGTACATGTGACCAAAGATGGAGAAGAAGAAAAACAGCAGCCTGTGAAGTGCAGCATACGTCATTTCTAAAATTCATGCATCCCTTCATCTTTCAAAATGTATAAAATAAGACAGCACTGCTTTGTCATTTATACAGTAACGTTTTACAGAACAAAGAATAGCAACCCGCTTTTATTGTCTCTCAGGCTGGCAGAGACCCTGTTCTCCATGGTCGTTCCGTGAGGTCTGTCTCACTGCCATTTCTCATAATCCTGTTATCATTATCTCCTTAACCAGTTCATAACAGGAAGTGCAGACTCACAGTCAGGCAAAATACCAGTAAAAATTTCCCAGGGGGAAGAACTAAGTGGCTGAGCCAGGAAACATGGTTTGTATTACCAAACGCAGCTTCACGTTTGCCTCCCCCACCTCCATTCTCCCCTGGGCCTGTGCTCTGTCCCAAAGCCCCACCTCAACCGATGCACTCAGATTTGAAAAGGAGGCATCACCAGCCCAAGACCTAGTAACGGGAGCTGTCCATCTTCCACACCTGAGGTGCTCACAGGCGTGACAGGCAGTGGCCATGTGCTCAGAAAGACTAAGTGGAATGAATTCACTTACATTCTTCCTGGAAACCCCTCTCTAGATAGAGAACTCTCGGCTACCAGGTGCCACTTGCAGAGCTACCAGGTACGATTTGTCAAGCTCTTTGCAATAGTCCGTCCCTCTACCATGCACTTCACATGGGTTACCTGTCCTATCTTTGATTCTTAAAGCAACCTCACAAGGTAAACATAAATATCACCTCTTGGCAGAAAAGGCCTCCGAGTTCCAATGATGATAACTCATCTGACAGACTCCCCTAGGGAAAACTCTGAGTCGGGCGCACACCTCTACTCATCACCTCCACACAAAAGGAGAAACTCTGCTTTCGTTTGCTTGTTTGTTTGAGGATTTTTTATCTTTTTTAATTTTAAAAACAATATTTTCTCATTTTACATACCTGTCCCAGTTCCCACTCCCTCCCCTCCTCCTGCTACCCCCACCTGCATCCACTCCTTAGAGTCCAGTTAAAAAGAAGGAGGAGCGATAACATGAGCAAAGGTGTCAAGATCAATTTGGGGATACCGGCAGAAACAGCTCAGTTGAGCTAGTAGGAGCTCACTGACTCTGGACTGTCAGTGGGGGAACCTGCATAAGACCAAACTAGGCCCTCTGAATGTGGGTGACAGTAGTGTGGTTTGGGCAGTCTGTGGGGCCACCGGCAGTACGACAAGGATTTATCCCTGGTGCTTGAAACTCTGCTTTTAAAGCCAACCCAGATTCAAAGCCTACTGCTTGATTTGAAAACTGTCCTCAAGTTTATCTGTAGAGTATCCCTTCTCACGACACATGCATTTATTCTGTCAACTTCCCACCATGGGTTCACTGAATCTTAGTATTAGGAACCTACACAATGTCTACCACAAAAGAAACTGGATAGAAGTCAGCTGACCTGAACAAGGGGGAGCTCATAGACCCCAGACTGATAGCTGAGAGGCCAGCATGGGACTGATCCAGACCTCCTGAATGTGGGTGTCAGTGAGGAGGCCTCAGCATCCTTTGGGGCCTCAGGCAATAAATCAGGAGTTAGCCCTGTCATCCAGAAGGACTTTGGGAGCCCATTCCACATGGATGAATGTTGTCTCCACCTGGACACATGACAGGACACATTTGGCCTAGGCCCTCCGCCAGATCATATGACAGACTTTCGAGATCCCCCAAGAAGGGCCTCACTCTCCTTGGAGTGTGAGGGGATTGGGGGAGGGGTTGGGGGAAGGTTGGGGGAGGGCATGAGAGGAGGGGAGGGAGAAGGAGCTAGGATTGACATGTAAAGCAAACTCACTTCTAATTTAAATTAAATTTTAAAAAAAGAAGAAACTGGATAGAGCTGTAGAAATGACTCAGTAGTTAAGAGCACTTTACCATCTTAAGTTCAGACCCAGCACCAAGTTATATGGTTCACAACTCTAGCACCTAGGTATCCAATACCCTCTTCAGGCCTCCAAAGCACCTGCACATACTTGTGTACACACACACACACACACACACACACACACACACACACAGACAAATAATCATTTTATTTTTTATTTTTTGGGTTTTTCGAGACAGGGTTTCTCTGTGGCTTTGGAGCAAATAATCATTTTAAACTGGAAACTTTGCATATACCCAGTGGTTGAGTTGCTGTATTATTTTATGGATGTGTCCACTAATGCTCTAGACCACTAAATGAACCTTTTTAATCAAGCCTCTAACAAGCAACTAGACAAACATGATGAGAGGACTTAAGGATGAGTAGAATACATGCGATAAGAAAACTAAAGGGAAGTTTCTGGGGGTTAAAGTTTTAAGTTGGGATGGGGACAAAGGGACAATTGGGGAGTAGCTTAATATTCAGAGAACAACTGACAATAGGATGACAAACCCCAATTGATGTGTCTGCAACACAACTCCTACACATAAGGCTCAGAGACCGCCAAAGAAGAGGGGATGGAAAGATTCTAAGAACAAAGAACCAACTGGACATGTGTCACAAGATCCTCTTCTATATATGGCAGGGAAGGTGAAACTGAAATCTCAGCAATATGGTTGCCTAAATAAGACCTTCACAATGGCAACATCAGTTGACATCCACCATCTTCCTCCCTGCCCTGTGTCATCAGCTAGGATCCCCTACTGCATCATCAAGGGGAAGGCCAGGCTGAGGTGGCTGGTCCACAGGAAGGTATGTTCCACTGCTGCTCTCACATAAGTTAACTTGGAAGACAAGGGTGATCTGGCTAAGTTGGTAGAAGCTATTAGGACCAATTACAACAGATATGATGAGATGCACTGTCACTGGAGTGGCAACATCCTAGGTCCTAAATCTGTGGCTCACATTGCCAAGCTGGAAAAGGCAAAGGTCTAAGAAATTACCACTGAACTGGGTTAGATATACACTGTTAAATTTTCCAAACATAATTTCTTTAACTAAGAAATTATATAAAAGAAAGAAGGAAGAGGGGGTAGGAAGAGGGAAGGGAAGGACGGAGGAAGGCAGGCAGGCAGGCAGGCAGGCAGGAAGGAAGAAAGGAAGGAAGGAAGGAAGGAAGGAAGGAAGGAAGGAAGGAAGGAAGAAAGGAAGGAAGGAAGGAAGGAAATTAAAATCTAAACAACAGAAAGCTCAGGGATGCAATAAAATATACAACGCTCTCATTCTGACAAGTTTCTCTAATACAGGCAAACCTTGCAACTCAATTGTCAGAAAATGCCATGTGGCCATTTATGGTTCTAGAAGAAGGAATATATTTTATTTGTGGTGTGGCCATTGACAAGTTGTTCATACTCCAGTAAATAACCTCCTATCCACACTTGCCAAACAACTCTAATTAAATTTAGTGTGTCACACACACACACACACACACACACACACACACCATGGAAGTAAGAAGTATCTTGTTAAGATGAAAGGTTTCAATAGCAGAGGG